TCTGGCTTATTTCACTGAGCATAATTCCTTCTAGCTCCATCCACATTGCTGCAAATGGCATGAGTTTACTGCAGGAGAGGAGGAGGGAGAGGGATTGGAGGGAGGGAGGGAGGAGCACAGGGGACTGGGGTGATGGTGCACAAGTGCAATGGGGAAGGAAATTCTATGGGGACTACACCTAAGGGAGTGGGGGGAAGCAAATATTGTTTAAAAATGAACAATGATATGGGCCTCTACTGGTGGCGCAGTGGTTGAGCACTGGGATGCCGGGCTGCCCACAGCCTCTGCAATGCTGGTTCGATCCCTGGCCGCCGGCGAGGGTCCCACACGGCATGCAGACCTCTCCTGCTGCGCCCGCTGCTCCCCTCAGCAGTGTATTTCGTCAGTCTGCCTGTTCTGTTCCCTGCTCTGGCTCTGGTGAATTCTCTCACCCTCCTGCGTTTCTGGCTATACCCAGTGCTTGTATAAATAAATAAATAAACCTTTTTAAAAAATGATGTAAAAAATAAAAAATTAAAATTAAAAAATTAACTCATTGCTTTTCCTTAATATTTCAAAGAAAACTAATAATAATATCACTACTCAAATAGAGAGCCGAGAGTCATTCACAATCAGGTGTGAAGTGTCTTACCTGCTCTAGGTAGTAGGGCTACAGTGGTGAAAAACAGATCTAAAGAACCCCCACCCTCACAGAGGGGTGACAGACAATAAACAAGATAAACAAAATAAATGTATTAGAGAGTAATCCATGCTAAAGGAAGAAAAGGGAAGGGGACAGCAAGTGTCAGTATGGAAGGGTTAAAATTCTAGATAGGGCAGCTAGGGAAGGCCTCACTGAGGTGACTTTTTCATTCTCCTCTCAGATGTTGTCCCCATAAAATTCCCACCACCGAGACACCCCTGAACCGTCACCATAGACTCTTGTGCTCTTCCCTCCCATGTTTCCATCCCTCTCCCTCTCCTTCCCCAGCTGAATGTCTCCAATTTATAGTTCGCCTACTGGTTTTGTCTCTTTTTTCCCTGATCCCTTGTTTGTTTTCCCTATGTGAAACCATCCTATAAGTGGAATCATCCAATATTTTTCTCTTTCCTTCTAACTTATTTCACTGAGCATAATCCCTTCCAGCCCCATCCATGTTGCTGCAAATAGCATGAGTTTATCTTTTTTGATTGCTGAGTAATATTCCATTGTGTATATGTACCACATCTTCTTGATCCAGTCATCTATTTTTGGGCATTTGGGCTGTTTCCATATATTAGCTCTTATAAATTGTGCTGCAATAAACATAGGAGTGCAGGTTTCCTTTTGAATTAATGTTTTTGTGACCTTTGGGTAGATTCCTAGAAGTGGAATTGCTGGGTCATATGGTAGCGCCATTTTTAGTAGTTGAGGAGCCTCTATGCAGCTTTCCATAGCGATTGGACCAGTTTGCATTCCCACCAGCAGTGGGCACCTTTTTCTCCACATCCTCGTCAGCATTTGTTGTTGCCAGTTTAATGTGTGCTCCGAGAAGGTGACTTTTGAGTAAAGACCTGAAAGGGACCAGCCACATGGGAATCCCAGAGAAAATCCAAGGAAATCCTGCAATTCAGGTAGCAGGAACAGTGCCCAGCCCTGAGGAATGAGTGTGCCTGGGTGTCCAAGGAAAAAGAGGTCATGGACAGAAGCAAGACTAGATAGGAAGCTACTGCAACAGTCCAAGCAAGAGATGATGGTGGCATGGACCAGAAAGATAAGGAATGATCAGATTCTGGAAATAGGAAGGTAGAGCCAACATTTGCTGATAGACAGTGTGGGGGGGTGTATATACACAGTACAAGAGGTGGGGGATGAAGGAAAACCCTAAGACTTTTGACCTGAGCAAGCAATTGGAAAGGATGGAGTCCAATGTTTCGTTCCTTCTTCCCTTTTTCCACCACTCCTCGTTCCTCCCTCACCTCCCAGATTTGAATTTCTGTCACTTACATCACATTCTCCCCACTCAATGGAAGAAACTTAGAAAGTACTGGTATTCAAAAGAAGAGATTTAAACCTTGCTTATTGTTTTGTTTACCTAAATCAAAAGAAAGAAGAAAAGAAAAACATCTGTGTGCTTCACAGTTCTGATTTTGTAATCGCGAATGATTACATTAGAAGAACGGTTTTCAGCCTTCAATTTCAGAATACTGAGATTCTATATATTATAAATAGACTAAATATACTCTGAATAGCATAAATACGCTGAAATTCTGCTAGTGTAATTCTGGTACATAGAACGGTGGCTGCTTATTGAGGAAAACAAGCTTTCTCAGAGGAAAGAAGCATTCTTGGCTCTTAAAATTTAGGTTATAAAGAGATCTATACTTGACAAACTAGTTGCTACTTTTGTCAGATGAATTAGTGCAATTATTTAGCATCATAAACTCAGACTTTCACCAATTTTACTTTTTCTGACTTACACTTAGTTCAAGGAGAGGACAGATTAAATAGAGTAAAACAAAAAAGAATAGGCAATGAATGATAGTTTCATGTGAGCCAAGACAGTAAGAAAAACAAGGTAATCTGATTTTATTTTAAAAGCTCACTTGTTACTTTAGTAATAAAATAGCTGTTATAAGGCCTGCCTGGTGGCACAGGGGTTAAAGTCTCAGCTCTATCAAGCTATCGACAGCCACTGCAATATGAGTTCATCCCTAGGCAGGGAGCTAACCCACATGGCACAGCAGACCTCTCCTGTCTCACCCGCTGCTCCCCTCAGCAGTATATTTCCGCCTGTTCTACTCCCCACTCCGTTTCTGGTGAATTCTGTCACCCCCACACTCATACCTTTGGCCTATACCCCAGTTCTTGTATTCATTAATAAATAATTCTATAAAAAATAAATAAAATAGCGGTGATATTTACGTTTATAGCCAATATTCTGGTCTCTGTAGAAAAATAATGTCTTTCTTTGACATTGATAAATCATTAAGCACTCATCTTACTTGTTTCAACATAAAAAATAACTTACTATCCTTATTAGTAAATAACCTGCTTTGCCTTCAACATATAAAGCAATTTATATCTAATACAATACATCCTTTTCATCACAGAAACATCAGTTTTAACTATGAAGTATGTTTACTTTTGCATTGGCTAGTGTAGCAAACTGAACATTTACAATATGATAAAAGAAAAAACTCTCATGTGACTACCTCTAAATAGATACTTCCTAATTCTGAAGCTTCAAAGCTGGCTTCTCCCCTGGGCTGCAGACAAGCCTGTGTGACAGTTTCCTGGAAACCACCAGTGCCAAGTCAAACTCATTTTTTGCCTCAAGCTGCCTCTATTTCTGTGCTCTGTATAGCTGTCACTTACATCCCCATCCACCTGGTCAACCAGGTTAAAAACTTGAATCATCTTTGACCCCTTTCTATCCTTCACTGTTTATATTCAATTAGTCGTCAGGTACTGTCCATGGAACGACTTCCAAATGGGCCCCCCTGCAACTGACACCTTCTTTTTCCCAGCTGCCTGAATTCATACCACTCAGATTTATGTATTGATAGTACTTGCTTAAAAACCTCACACACTATCTCCCATTTTGTCTGGAATAGCCTAAACTTAGCAAAGTACGCAGGGCTTCCGACATTTTGACCCTGACTCCACAACTGCTTCTTTTGTTTTGATTATTACCAGGGCTGAATGTATAGCAGTGAGTGAGTGATGACATAGAGTGGCCAGCACCGTCCAAAGAAGTATGACTGCTCATAGTTCCCAGGAGACTGTGCATAATCCCACACAGGACCACCTGGCAAAGTGCCAGATCAGTCAGGAGGAAGAGGAACTGGGAGAGAATATGACCCAAAGGCTTCATTGTGGTTTCTGAGAAAGCATGGGTGAGACAGAGTGGGAAGTTTGAGCAAGCTCAGGAAGGGAGTATGAATAATATCTGCAAGTTTTGGGCTAGAGGGTGATCTCCGATTATCCAGTACGTGGCCCTGGGGTGACTGAGTGCAAATACTGACTTGCTGTGTGAGAATTATATAAAGGAGCTGGTTGGGGGGTTGGGATTTGGATTGGTTGGTCCATGTATGAAAGGTGTATTGGCTACCCTCAGAATTAGTTCCTCCCTGGGTGCCCCTCAAGATGCCAAAGCATCATAAAATATATAAAATAAAAACATGGCTAATTCACACTTCCTATGGACGCTGCCTATACTCCTAGTAGCCCTAGAAGGTGGCCTTCTATAAGTTATGTAACACTCTGCTATCATCCATAATCCTGAGTAGCACCCCAAAATCTGATGCTATGCTACTATGATCCCTTCATTGTCCCTTCTCCCCACTAAAGCTAGTGACATAGGCAGCCAATCTTTAAGGTGGCTGGCAAGCTATGCTTGTGAACAGCCTCAAAACATGCAGTAGATCATCCACCTTTCCTGAGGATTTAAACTAAGAGCCACAAAAGAAAAGGAAACCACTAGTTGATGGCAAGGTGAACTGGAAGGCCCTGAAGTATATTCAAGACTCTTGCAAACAATGTGTGCTCTAGTACCCCACATCCCCTCCAAAATACTACAAATAACCCATCACAACCTATCTGGAGCTAGTGCCGGAGTATACTTGCTAGCTGTTTTATTTTTGTTTGCTTGTTTTCTTTAATGTTTCTCTCAAGTACTATGATTAACAAGAGATTCACAGTAACAAAACTATAAATCGCTCAGATTTGATCAAGTCTGGGATGCAGGGCACAATGATGCCTTTTTTAAGTCCCCAAAAGTGTGGCAAAGTGCTTTTAATTTCATAGAAACACAATCTAGCACAAATACAGCTTGCAGCTTCAATGACCATTTCAGCTTCTTTAAAAAAAAAAAAAGATTTCAGCTTCGTTTTAAGATCTACACTCCGCAGGAAAAAAACTTTGGCCAACTCACCAGCTGCAGCCCCGCCCCGGCTTCGCGCTGATCCAAAGCCACAGGCTGTCGATTGCTTCTGCCTGGACCGACCCATCCGGATCGACTGCTCCTGTCTGGCGCGTCGCCGAGCGCGGGAAAAGTTTCAATCCGGTTTGGCGGCCGCGGCGCCCGCTTGGTCCCTCAGAACTCGAAGCGGCCGCCGACCCCGCTTTCCTTTTCCCTCCGGGCGCCCGGAGGTGCCCCAGGGAAACGCAGCTCACGTCGCCGCCATGTCCGAGGCTTATTTCCGGGTGGAGTCGGGAGCGCTGGGGTTTGAGGAGAACTTTCTCTCCCTGGACGACATCCTCATGTCCCACGAGAAGCTCCCGGTGCGCACCGAGACCCCCATACCGCGCCTCGGCGCCTTCTTCCACGAGCGGGCCGGGGGCGCTGAGGCTGACGACGCCCTCCCGCAGGTGAGCCTGTGGGCGCGGTTTCCCGCCGGACACTGCGGCGCGGGGGCTCGGGGCGCGCGGGGGCCGCTGGGATCTGTAGTTTGGGCGGGAGGCGGCCCAGTACGCTGCTGAGCGTGGGTCAGCAGGTGCCCACGGGCGAAAGTGTCCTCCCTACCTGGCCTTGGGGAAACTAAACGTGGCCAGGGTCCAGGCTCCCTCTAGCAAGGCTTGCATTTTTGAAACTTGGGGTTCAGCAGTGTTCGCCCCGCCCTCTCTTCCCCTCCCTCATGTATTGATGCTTCAGGATTGACTTTTTAAAATTTTTTTTTTTTTATAGAGGCATGTTATTTATTTATTTGTTTGTTTGTTTATACAAGCACTGGGTACAGTCAGAAGCGTGGGAGGGTGAGAGAATTCACCAGAGCCAGAGCGGGGAGCAGAGCAGGCAGAAGGACCAAAGTACACTGCTGAGGGGAGCAGCGGGCGGCAGGAGAGGTTTGCGCGCCATGTGGGACCCTCCTCCGGTGGCCGGGGAGCAGCCGGGGATCGAACCGGCGCTGCAGAGGCTGCGGGCAGCTTCGCAACCCAGCGCTCAACCGCTGCGCCACCGGGGAGGCCCGACTTTTTAAATTTTTTTAAAAGATTTTTTATTTATACAAGAGCTGGGGTGTAGTCCAGAGGGGGTGTTTTTTACCCCACTTAGACTTGGGATAGCTAGGTCATGGATTTTTCAAGCTTCCTTTATGCCTTTTTAACTGCAGATTTCCTCTAACCACAGTTTTAATTGCGTTTTACAAGTTTCGATTAGTTATAATTTCATTATCACTGAGTTCAGGAGTTTTCTAATTTTCTGTGGCCAGAAAACAGTTGGAATTGGCTTCAGTCTTTTGGAGGTTGTTAAGACCTGCTTTACACCGCAACATAAAATCAATTTAACCATTCTATATATACTTGAAAAAAATGTGTACTATGAAGTCATAGTGTGCAATAAATAATCTATATCTGTAAATTAAGTTTGTTACTTCCTTTTTCGACCTCTTCTACATTCTTTTTTTGTTTGCTACTTCTCATTTATTAAAGAGATATGTTAAAGTCTGCTATGATTATAGATATGTCTGTTTCTCTTTTTACTTGTCAGTGTAGATATTTATATTTTTCTGGTGAATATAATGTTCCTTTTATCATTGTTCATGTCCCTCTTTATCTCTAGTAATTCTCCCTTCTTGATTACAGTTTATAATTTTTCCATCCTTCTGTTTTCAACCTTTCTCTGTCTTTATACTTAAGATATGTCTTTTGTAAGTATCATATAGTTGGGTTTTATCTTTATTTAGTTTGACCATTTTTAATTGGTGTATTTAATTCACTTACATTTAATTATTTATGTAGTGGTACTTATTTTTACCTCCCTACTATTTTTTCCTATCTGGTTTTTTTTTCCTATTTTTTTTAAATGTTTGCCCTCATTTATGTGTTATATATAGAAAATCTCATTTTGGGTCCTCTCTGGTGGCTCAAGGGGTTAAGACACTATCTACGAAGCTGTCCACAGCCACTGCAGCACAAGATCAATCCCCGGCAAGGGAGCTGCTCACATGGTGCAGAAGACCTCTCCTGACTCTCCCACTGCTCCCCTCAACAGTGTATTTCAATCAGTCTGCCTGTTCTGCTCCCCACTCTGTCTCTGGTGGATCCTCTCACCACCCCCATCCCCGCCCCGCACCTCTGGCCCGTAACCCAGTTCTTGTATGCATAAATAAATAAATCTTTAAAAAAAAAAAAAAAAAGAAAATCTCATTTTTCACTGGATTCAGACTTAAAGGTAGAAGCTCCCAGAAAAGACAGTCTCCGTCTCTTGGCCATCTGTTACTGCTGTTTTTCTTTGGCCTCTTTCACCCTCTTGGCCAAAAGTTTAGTGTATGACCTCTTGTTTTTATTAGTACGTTGTTTCTTCAAGGCCATACATCAGTGGCTGTATTACAGGACCTGGAGGAACAAGATGCTGAATCTTGGGCACTTGGTTCTAAGTTTCTTACTTCTCTGTTTAAAAACCTTCTCACACACATGTTGGTGGACATTGTCTTCTTTAAAGAGGGTGAAAAGTTTGTGAATTCCGCTAGCTCTTTTGGGCTCTGGGTGATGGGTTAGTCCAGGAATATCCTTCTCCCCATCTTTTCACAGTGACCCGTTGAGAGCATTCAGATTGACATCCACAATGCACATTTGCACTTTCCTTTACCAGCCATCATAGTCTGTAACAGGAAGGCCCCTTACTCAGAAGCAGGTGGACAAGGCCATGATTCAAAACTGACACCCTGAGAACAGGCACTATCGCTCACATGATGTGTCACACGCACTGTGTGTTTTTATTCTTGTCTGATGCAGGGCTCAAAGCTTGAATTCCCTCTGTGGCTGGCGAAAGGACTTTTTGACAATAAGCGGCGGATCCTTTCTGTAGAACTTCCCAAGATCTACCAAGAGGGTTGGAGGACCGTGTTCAGTGCAGATGCCAATGTGGTGGACCTCCACAAAATGGGACCGCATTTCTATGGCTTTGGCTGCCAACTCCTGCATTTTGACAGTCCGGAGAATGCAGACATTTCCCAGTCTCTCCTGCAGGCAAGTAAAGCATAAAACCTGTGGTGCTGCACAGTCTAAAGAGCCAGCTGTGGGCATTGCTCTCCCCGGGGAAAGTAGGTAATTTGCACATAGTTTATTATTACTCCAGGTCACTCTACAACTGGGTGATGCTTATCAGTCATACATACACACACACACAATTTTATGTATTTAAAAAATATTTGATGTTTACATAAATATTAAATATTTTTATTGACTAGTTTTAATATATGGTGTTTAAATTTACAGATGTGTGTGTATATGTATGTGTGTATGACTTATCTGCTACGCTTCAGAATTTCTTGCTAAGAGTTGGCACTAAGGAAATTTAGGAAATAAAAGGGTTTCCTGGGCTACAGGTGACAGGCACTTGGAAGACATTTTCAGCCCTCTCACAGGAATGGCCTGAAGCTTACTGCAAAAATACAAGCATTATTTAGTTATTTGTTCCCTTCCCTCGCTCTGGGGTTAAGACCTGGCTCCGCCATATACTAGCTGTGTGACTTAGCTTAGCAACTGGACCTTTCTTGGCATCAGTCTTCTCCACTAAGTGAAGATATAATGCCAAAATAATACAGTTGCAGTAAGATTATGGAGAATCATGTAACAAGTGAAACTTTTTATTATTATTTTCCATGGACAAAATGATGTTATACATATATTGCCATCCTTTATGATACAATTATACCTTGTCATAGTGGTTTTTTTTTTTATTGTTACTATTAGGAGGAACTATCCTTTCTACCTATTGTTTTACTTCCGCATTTCCAGCTTTATAAGAATATGTTTGCCCTCCCAGACTGCGCTGATGCCCTCCATAAAGCTTAAGGGTTCTTTGGCCTACTGCTGTTTTTAATGAAGATATTAAGGAAAAACTTTGTTGCTATTTATTCAGAAAAAGAAGTTAATACATAGACTATAGATAGAGCTTCTGAAACTTGCCCTAAAAATAAGGTCGATCCATTTGCCTTTTAATATCACCAGGATATATTCTTGAATTGAAAAACTGCCCCTTTTTTGTAAATGATATTTCTTTTTTCCATCACTGCTTTGAAGTGCTGCAGACTAGTTATTTCTGTATAAGGTTACATCCCCATGATGTTGGAGAAACTGAAGCAGGGATTGTGGTTTGGGCCCAGAACCCTGTGGTAAAATGGTACCCTGAGTAGACCTTAGGCTTCTCCATTCAGCACTCATACTGTAAAGAAATGGCATTCAACTGAATCCTTAGTTTTCTCTAGTTGAAATCTGTCTGCATGTCACCACAGTATATTTTTTTTAATTTATTTATTTATGCTTACAAGAACTGGGGTGTAAGCCAGAGGTGTGGGGGTGAGAGAATTCACCAGAGAGTAGGGAGTAGAACAGGCAGATCTGTTGAAATAAACTGCTGAGGGGAGCAGCGGGGATGGCAGGAGAGGTCTGCAGTGCCATGTGGGTTCCTCCCTGGCTGGCCGGGCTCAAACTTATGCTGCAGTGTCTGGTGGTAGCTTGATAGAGCTGTCTTTAACCCCTGCACCACCAAGGAGACCCCCGCCACAGTACATTATCATGGTCTTTGTTACCAATCACAATAATGGGTCATGCTTTTTAATCCCCTTCTTTAGACATTTATTGGACGTTTTCGCCGCATCATGGACTCTTCCCAGAATGCTTACAATGAAGACACTTCGGCACTGGTAGCCCGGCTCGACGAGCTGGAGAGAGGCTTATTTCAAACAGGGCAGAAAGGACTGAATGACTTTCAGTGCTGGGAGAGGGGGCAGGCCTCTCAGATCACAGCTTCCAACCTCGTTCAGAACTACAAGAAGAGAAAATTCACTGACATGGAAAACTGAAGGCCAGAATGGATCTTCGAGACTTACCCCTCTCTGTGTCTGATAGGAGCCTGGTTGACCTCATAATGGACCAGAATCACGTCCCATCTACTGCCTGGCTTCCTGTAGCTGTCTCGGAAGTGGTATCTGATTAGGAAAGGATGTCCCAGAGGATTTTCCTAGCTCTGATTCTTCCAGGACTATCTTGCCTTGCTGACCTGTGGTCTAGACCTACTTAACCCAAGAACCCAGAGTTGAGGAGAAATCAGAGTCCTCCATGAGTACGGATCCTTGATCTAAACATCACAATAGTGTTGGGATGGGGGCCCCTGTGTGTCAAATGTCCTGACTCACTGACTCCAAAGGACAGGTGAAACTCAAGCCATCTTAGTCTGTTCTCTAACTGTTCTCTTGAGCCAAATTGCTTAAGACTAAAGCTTAATCTTCCTCATGGTTGCACAAAGGACAGTACCCTCAGAATGCTGGCCTTAATTTTAAATATCTCCTGCACCTGTCTGTGGGGAGTTATCTCACTTTTGCATAAGTCACCCCAAGAATAGGGAATGAAAAGGGGGAGTAAATGAATGGCATGACGTTCACTGAAGGGAAGACACTGCTTTTCTTCTCTCTCTTCAGGGCTTTGTGAACTGGACTTCATGTAACTGTAATTACCTAGAGGCGAAATGATTAAACTGAGCTTGTAGAGAGCACCCCCAGTTACTCCATCCCCCTCCTAGAAAAGCTGTCAGGGAGTCATTTGGAATTGCAAAGTAGTTATTAAAGGGTGTTAACCAGCCCTTACCCTTATTACATCAGGAAATCAGGACTTAACGGTTGCCAGTGATGGAGAGTCCTGTTTGAGAAGCTCAGGTGGCCCATGTCAGTGGGCAAGGAACACCGAATATATTTTGTCAGTAATTTTTCAACAATATTACATAGAGGATCCCTGATCACTTACTGAAAATCTATTTGAGCAAAAGCAGAGAACCCTTCCTCTGGAGATCAAAGCGGGAGCCTCAGGCTGAGAGGACACAGCTTTCCCTGGGACCTGCAGGACTGTTTGAAGGGCAGTTTTCTCCACCCCTTCCCACTTTCTGCAACTAGAAAATTGTCTGTTGCTGGAAATTACAGAGATTTGTGTATCCAGATTGTGTAGATGTCTTGGTGCAAACAAAGAATGTCAGAGATGCTTTTAAAATGCCTGTTTTATGATGGAATTGATATTTTTATAATTGCATTTTGGTGCTAAATAAATGATCCATTTGCACATGAATACTATGCAAATACTATCTCTGAACTCTAGTAGTACAGATGATCATGCAAGGCTATCAGAATTTTGTCTCTGATCGTATTTAACAATAACGTCCAAATAGATCCATGTTTCAGCCACTCCTCTTTTGTTTGTTCGGTACTCCTAATCCCAGGTTCCTTCTCCAGAGGAACCGGCCATGTACTGGGAAGGTGGGGCTTCCATTACTACCACAGCACTCGCCTTTAGCCAAGGCTCCCGGAAATAATTCATCAAGTGAAAAAAATCGTTTAAGTCTTGGATGTGTTATTTTCACAGAGAGCTTTGCATTTAAAGTCAGTCCTAAGGCGGTTGCCATTTTTTTCCACTATTAAAATAAATTTGCTCAGGGGCCATGTGCCAGGAATACATGAGTAAAGGAGAATTTATTCCTTGTTCTAAATTTTGAAGTCTGTAGCCTCTGAAGCCCTTTTCCAATTTCCAGTTTGCCTTCAAGCCTGTTAATGACAACCCCTCTCCCCTGCAACTCTCCCTCAATTATCTTTTGGATTATTACATTTGGTCCCTTCAAAGAGGTGAATTTTTCAAGTCAATGGATTGACTCAGTGTAATGGCAGGAGGACACGGAGCAGGATCTCTATGACCCGAGCAGACAGGTGAAGGAGTCCTGGAGCACTCAGTGGCTTTTGCAGGTACATGGCAGGCAGAGGTGCCGGGGGGCTGGGAGGCTGGCTGGCCTCCCAGCCCCCAGCAAGTCTTCCCTTTACCTGGGCTCTCCGGCATTCTCTGGTGGCCCTGTTCTCTGCTGCTCTCATAGTTCTGGCATCCCCATGATGCCACCCTTATAAGCTCAGCCTTAGCCCAGGTGTACCCACTTAGGCATGCCCGCACCCTACTGCAGGTGCCTGCCATCAGGCATGCATTCAGAACCGCAAGGATCCATCATCAGTCCTAATGGCGGACGGGCAGAAAAGCCTGATACTTCACTTACCCTACAATCCACCCCCTCAGGGTTTTCTGCCAGAAAGTCTATATACATGTCATATACATTTCTCATGGTAATATGAACACTGCAGCCATGGCCCACAAAAGCGAATGAAACACATAACAAAATACAACAGAACACAAATGAGTCCAGGCAGGGCACCAACCTAGCGGCAAAAGACAAGATCATTGGCACCAGCAGATGATCCACCACTTTTGCTGCCGAAGGCACTGCTCACACAAGGGAGGGGAACCACTCAGGCACTTGACTTCGCTTGCCAGGAGCCATCAGGCTTCCTGGCCTTCTCCAGCTGTGGTCTTGGCCACAAGCCACACCTCATCCACCCCCAGGATGCACTCACTCTGGGATTGACGATTCTGTACTTTGGGGGTAATCGCCCAATCCTCAGTGTTTCTGTCTGCTGTTGCTCCAACACTTGGCTTTCATAGCCACCAATGTGACACACAGACCCCTGCACTCAGGCCAACCCATTGCACAAGCACATGGGCCGGGGATTTGTGGATACAAGCTCCACATGCGGCCTCTCTTGGGTCCCCTCTTTGGCTGTGGGCTCCACCACAAGCCATGTTCCCCAAGGATGGGTTCCTCAGCTCCTTACCCTTACTCAACAATAAGCAGGGCGTCACCCACAGGTGATTTTAAGAGACTCACTGGCCTTCTTCAACATATTCAAGATGCTTAACAGCCACTTAGGGCTTCCCAATCTCAGCACCAGCTTTAGCCTTTCTAAGTTGGCTTTTTCTCTGCCTGGCTGCAGAGAACTTGGCGAGGGCTTCCTCCCTCAGCCAACCTGGGCTCTTATACCAAGGCCCACTGGCCATGCCTTGATTTTTATCTCCTGGGGTTTATAAACGATACCACCTACCCCCAAGGCCCCAAAACGTATCAACCTACCAAGGTTCCTCCGCCTTCTGGTGGGATTGTCAGTCCAAGTACTTTAGTCCAAGTCCGTTGGCCTCTCCCTGCATCAGCACTGGTGAGCTCCGAATCATGGTCCTTTCTTCCCCAATGATTCTGCTGCCTCAGGGGTCGTTGGCTGGTCCTCTCGGGCCATCTCCTCCAGGCAAGGTCTCCTCCCATAATTCCCGGACCTTGTCCACCTGCTGTGCTGCCATGACGCCTCCAGCATTGTCACAGGCTCTTGGGCTGCTACTCCTCAGTCCCTCCAAAGGTCTTCGGAGCCGTCTGCATGGATCATCCTGCCGACTTACGCCAATTGTAATGGCAGGAGGAACAGGAGCAGGATCTCTATAACCCGAGCAGACAAGTGAAGGAGTCCTGGAGCCCTCAGTGGCTTTTGCAGGCTTTTATTGAGTTTACCAGGTACACGGCAGGCCTCCTAGCCCCCAGCAAGACTTCACTCTACCTGGGCTCTCCGGCCTTCTCTGGTGGCCTTGTTCTCTGCTGCTCTCGTGGTTCTTCTGGCATCACCATGATGCCACCCTTATAAGCCCAGCCTTAGCCCAGGTGTACCCACTTACGCATGCCCGCACCCTACTCCAGGTGCCCGCCATTGGGCATGCAGTCAGAACCGCAAGAATCCATCATCAATACTAATGGCGGGAGGGCAGAAAAGCCTGATACTTTTTCATTTACCCTACACTCAGTTACTGAATTTTTCTTATCATCAAGGGGCTGGGAGGATGTGTGCTCTTTCTCTGGCCTGACTTATGTACAAAAGACCTCCCTGTTGATGTTCAGGTGTTTCCTGGGATAGTCTGCGCTGCCAGAGAATTGGGACAACCATAGGTCTCCTGAGTCGATTCCTCTGGACCGCAGATGGTTGCAGGTTCAGTTGTTGGGTCTCTTCTAGCCATTTTTCCTTTCTGAAAATCTCAAAGTCTCAAGCTTTCAATACCATCTCTATCCTGTTGACTCCCAAATTCGCATCTCCTGCTCATTGCTCTCTGCAACTCCTGACTTGTAGTTTCAGCTCAGCACCTGACTTAACATTTGCCATCAGCCAAAACTGGGCTCCCGATCTCTTAACCCTTTTGGTCTACTCCTATAATCTTTGTCAACTCTGTTTTGGCAGCACCATCCTTCCCTATTTCCTAGGACAAAAACCTGTCCTCTGTGTGTGGAACCTCCTTCTTGTCCTCTTTTGGATTTACCTTTTGCACATTCTGCTCGCCTCTTCCCCGCCTCCAGTCCTGTCCTGATTGTTGTGGTCGCCTCCCAACCACTGGCTCTCTTGTCTCCATGGCAGCCACAGTGGTCTTGCTCAAAAATAAGTTAGATCTTGTTACTTCTCTGCTCAAAACCCTTCCAGCTCAGAGAAGACCCCTCTATTGTCCCAGCACTGTTTGACTGAAAGTCCGTCTTTATTCCAGTGAACAGGTAATGCATGTGTTTATTGCATGAGTCATTTGTGTCTTCTTTTAAATAAAAGTATCATCACTGCCTGTAAGATTTTTGAGCATCTTACAGAGCTTCTCATTAATCTCTCAGCACCACTGGGCCTGAGAAGTTTCTGGAATACTGTGTCTGAAGTAGTGAAACTGAAATGCAGAAGTACTGGTGTCTCAATCAAATTCATACAGAAATGAATCTGGCTCTGACCTCTGTTCTCTCCTATCCCATTATCCTTCAAGAAATCCTAGCTGAGTTTTTCATATTTATACTTGTAACAATAGTGTCTATGTGAAAATACACTCTTTTAAACTGATCCCAGCAAAAGAAAATAACAGAAGCTGCTGTGTGTTTCTGAAAGCACTTATCTTTGTGTTTTAGAGAAAAATCTATACTTGAAGTGAGCAAACAAAATGTAGGCTAGTTGCTTAACCAAAATAATTTCTCTAAGAACCCTAATTTCAACTGTCCTCAGCTAGTTTAGATAACTGAAAAAAATTTTTTTTGTTTTAAATATTTTTTGGAGGAGGGGAACCACACTTTTACTCAATTAAGAGAAGCATTTTTAATGGAGCTACTATATGACCCAGCAATTCCACTACTAGGGATCTACCCAAAGGACACAAAAACATTGATTCAAAAGGACACCTGTACACCTATGTTTATTGCAGCACTATTTACAATAGGTAAAACCTGGAAACAACCCAAATGCCCAAAAATAGATGACTGGATCAGGAAGATGTGGTAGTTATAGATATACACAATGGAATATTACTCAGCAATCAAAAAAGATAAACTCATGCCATTCACAGCAATGTGGATGGAGCTAGAAGGAATTATGCTCAGCGAAATAAGCCAGAAGGAAAAAGAAAAATATCAGATGGTTTCACTTATAACAGGATTATCGGGGAACCGAATAAGACATCAGTATAAAATAAATAATAACAGTACAAAACACAACAAAGCAAAAATGAACAATTATAAATCAGAGACATACTGCAGGGGAGGAAGAGGGAGAGGGATCAGAGGGAGGGAGAAACAGAGGACTGTGGTGATGGTGCACTGGTGCCTTGGGGAAGGAAATTCTATGGGGACTCAATCTGAGGGGGTGGGGGGAAGCAAATATTGTTTAAAAATAAAAAAAAAGTTAAATTTGAAAAAGAGAGAAGCACTTTTATACTCCAGAGGATTTTTTTCCTAACACCTACCACACCATGCATTCCTAGGAAATGATGTTTCCTGCAACTCAGGCCCCTTCTATGGTTCTCAGAGAATGTGCAGCTTGGCATAGAGCAGGCTGACACATCTGAGATTTTTAATGTTAACTACACTGAGAAACAATTTTTAAGAGATGCTTAAAGTCTGAACCTAAAGTATCTAAAGTTTAGAATTCTGTCACAAACTCTTGTTATGGCTATTTTGAATAAGCAATAAATCCCCAATCCATAATGAGTAATGAGTAAAATTTACAGTGAATGAAGGGCAAATCTGAGAAAATCTTATTGTCACCCTCTTCCTGAGAGCAAATGATTAACTCAGAAGACAGGCCTGGCCTGCTTTTGTTTGAGTTCATTTGTTGATTTTTCCAGACTTGTGCATTTCTGCCTAATCAAAGGAGACACAGGGCAGCAGGACACAGCGAGCTTGCCAAGCAGCCTTCCTGCAGGACACAGCCTTCTCCTTCCTGGGTCTGCTTTCCTTTTGCTGTGTGTAGTCCAGGGGGAGGTACAAATAAACCCCACCCTTAAGCCAGAGGTTTCCTTTCTGTGACCGATTTTCTTTTTTTTTAAAGATTTATTTATGCATACAAGAACTGGGGTACAGGCCAGAAGTGTGGGGGGTGAGAGGATTCACCAGGGACAGAGTGGGGAACAGAACAGGCAGACTACTGAAGTACACTGCTGAGGGG